CTACTACTACTACTACTACTACTACTACTACCACTACTACTACTACTACTACTACTACTACTTTTACTTGAAGTGATAGTAATAAAGAGGATGATACCCAATGTAAACTTTGGGATATTCACTTAGTTTGTTTACTTTCGTTAAACAAATGTGTGAAATGTTAAGCTTCATTCAATGCTTTCAATATTCAGACAAATTGATTGTTTGCTTATTAATAGAACTTAATAAATGCATATATTATACCAATGACAACTTATACTATTCATTAATACTTTTGCACCAAATATTTTTTATTTACTTTTGGTGACAAAAACATAAATAGGACAGAATATGTTGGCAATATATTTTTAACCTTATTACAACTTTTTATCATATTAGTTAATTAATTCATTAACAGTAGTACAAAAGTAATAAAAAGGAATAAAATTTGGAGAAATATATGTAAATTAGAATAATCAATATGTTAAATGAATGTAAAAAAGTTTTAACAAATTAAAATAATCCCTTCCATAATAATATTTTCATTGTTGTTTGTTGTTTGTATTGTCGAAATATTAAGGAAAAGTAATATTTTTGCAATGAATTTGATTGAATGTAACTGAAGAATGTTTTTTTCTTGTAAACACTATCAACTATACAACTGATTCTTGAAATTAACGTTAATTAATTAATTAGCTAATAATTAATTCGTTTATAACTTTGCAATTTAATTGCTCATTCATTCAATAAAAAGTATTCATTTAAAAAAAAAAAATTAAAAGATATAAGTAGAAATTTTAATCTGAAAAAAAGAAGGAGTAATATCTAAATATATTCAATAAAAAATCAAAACATCCGATGTATTCGAAAAGTTTTGTATTTCATTAATTAAATAATAATAATCTTTTTATGTATTTCATTAAGAATTTTTGATAGGAATAATAATTTCAAAATTTGAATATTATATTAGATGTAAATTTTATGAGTAAAGAAAAAAACGAATTTTTAATCTTTTTTTTTTTCTGTAAAATATTTTTTTTACCTTTTTTCTTTATCATTGTACTTTTTTAGAATACTTTTTCAGGTTTTTCTTTTAGTACAATGGAACGATTTTATTTATTTTTTCTATTTAATTATATACATATGAGAGAGGTGAATAGAATGAAAGCATCGAGAGTTCGGGGAGATGAAATTGATGAATTCATTGAGGTATGAATAATTCAATTAAGGAAGGTAAAGGGGAAAGGTTATACAAAAGATGGGACAATAAGAGGGAAAGAGAGGAATAAAATGAGAAATTCGGTAGTTGAGCGTAATGGGTTATATGTGTGTACCTTTCTGTCCAAATCAATTTCCTAAAGGACATAGAGAGAGAGAGAGAAAGAAAGAAAGAGATTGTTAATTTTGAGTAGTTTTTTTTTTTTGTTTTATTTGATTAAACGATAATTTTACATTCACCTCCCATTTTATCTTCTCTCCTACCTATATTCTTCCATATCTTATTAATCGGTATTGCTTTAATGATAATTAAAATGTTTTATTTAATCTTTTTTTTTTATCACCACTGATTAAATCACACACTTCTTTTTATCAAAAATAATTTATAATTTATTCTAGAAATCAAAATTTTTAGTAGTAATAATAATAAATTTTCATTAAATATATTTCATTTTATCAAATTTTTTTCAAATAATAAACGATGGAAATTTCAAATTTGCAAAAATTATTTAGAAATTTTTCGAGCACTTTATTACGAAATAATATTATTTTTGTTGGTACTACACTGGTAATTGTTAAAATTTTAAAATTTTTAAAAAAGTTCCCAAAAAATTGGAAAATTTTAAAAACTATGAAAAATGTATGAATTAAAGTTTAGCGTTGATGAAATATGAACAAACAGAAAGTAAAACAGGTTTTCCATATTTGTTTCTTTACTGATAACGTTTGACAATTGGATAAGCATCTGAAGCGAAAAATGTGTCGCAACGAAAATGATTGACAAAGTGATGAAATCAGACAATCCGATTAAGTTACAAATAATCAAATTACAGTACCACTTGCTACATTTAGAAAAAACGGATTTAGCATTTCTCTCAATCGGATGTCGTAAGGAGAACACCGTAATCTTTGGTATTTTTTTCTCCCCCTTTTTCTTTAAATACAATTTTAAGTTTTTGTTTACAAAAATTTTAAAAACAAAATATTGGCAATCAATAACTCTATATTTAAATCAAGCTTAAGTTCTACCAAATCGAGTAGACAATAATTAGATTGAATTCCACTTATAAGGCATTACTTCGAAAAAATTTAAACTTTCATCTTTTCAAGTTTTTTTCCAAAAAAAAAAAACGCTTAAAAAAGTATTTATGATAGCTGATGTCATAGATGTTAATAATTTTATTGCGATAATTAATCAATAAATGGCTAATAATTCTTCTTTAAATTAATTTCTTGTAAAGATTTCCAATTAAATTTTTTGAAATATACACTTTAAATGACGAAAAATATAGGAAGAAAATGAAATGAAATGAATGTAAGATGCACGAAATCGGGATAATCAATAATTGAATTAATCAAAAATTAAAAATTAAAAATTTCAAAAAAATTATTAAAAAAAATCATTACCATTTAATTTCAAATATTACTTAAGAAAAGAAAAAAATTGAATTAATAATAGTAGAAGAGAGAAAGAAAATGGAAAATAATAGGTATAAGTACTGTATTGTACTATTAATTCAATATTTTCATATCGTATAACTGTAGCCTGTGTATATTACGATTTAAGAAATTATATATATATATATATGTATGTGTTTGTCTGCCTATTTATAGAAAAGTGTACCAATCTTGTTTATAATGATTTAAATTTTGGGAAAGAAATGATATATTAGAGCTAAAATATTTCAATAAAAGGCAAGTTATATTCTTTTGTATACTATAAAATATCCTTTTGTATACTGTAAAATATAGTATTAATCATATGGTAATTTAATTGCGTAATTAATCAATAAAATATATATATATTTGTTTAAAGTATATTTTAGCTGATAATTGTTCAAAAAAAAAAGAAAAGAAAAGTGATATTCATAGATTGCATTTATTGTGCATTCTAATTATAATCATAAAATTTAATTTAAAAAGAAAAGAAAACGAAAGGAAAAAAAAGTACCCAAAACGATTCATTAGCAAATAATGGATTATTTCAATTAATTAAACAATTAATTAATTAATTTTTGAAAATACATATTAATGGCAAATATCTATCAGAAGGAAAAGAAACGATAGAAAATTGTCAATGGTAGATTAATTACATAAATAAATAGTGGAAAAAGTTTTTTCCTCCTTCTCATTCTTTTTTTTTCTTCTCTCTCTCTCCCTCTTTCTCTTTTTCTTCCTCTTCCTTTTCCCTTTCTCTCATCCTTTTTGTGTAACAACCTTTTAAATTTACAAATTTTGAACAGAATGCAAATAACACCAATTCAATAATTTAATAATTTATTTCTAGTACTCTTTTCTACTGTTGAAAATAAATTGTATTTATTGGGATGAAAAACTGGAAATGAAATACGGTACATTGAAATGAACTATACAATTATTATCCTTGTAAATTATTTTTTAATTTTGCAACAATTTTTTCAGTAAATCTCTTTTTCATTGAAAAATTTAAAAAAAGGAAAAGAAAAAACGAAGAAAAGAACAACAAAAATGGGTGAAACCCGTGATATTTTGTCAAAATTTTAATAAAAAATGTTCAAATTTTTGTCGAATAAACAACTGAAAAGCAAAATTTGCAAAAAAAAGAAAAGAAATGGAAGCTTATATCAAAGCAAATAACAATGACGCCATTTTTTCTTTTTTTTTTGTAAAAATTAAAAATTCTATTTGAAAAACAAACACAATTTACAAATAAAATAGCAATAAAAGCCGCTTAGCATTAATGTCACAGAATGAAAACTTTTATCTAAATTGCTACAAAGTATAAATTTATTCATCATAATTATGGATGTAATTAAATTGCAAAAATAACAATTTCAATCATTCGATTATAAAAGTTTTCAAATCAAAAAAAAGAAAATCATCATACTTGAATTTTTCAATAATTTTTAATGATCTGGAGTGATAATAATAATAATCGATATAAGAAATGATAATTTTGGAATTATTTCAATCAACATAAATTCACCGACAATTTTCATCAATCATAATAATTCATGCATATTTTCCAAAATTTAATTAATTAAAATGTATACATATGTACGGTAAATCATAATTTCAGTTTGGATACACGTCTAACGACAAATATGCACCAATTACCAAAAAAAAAAGGAAAAGAAAGAAATTATCATTAAAGATGAAAACGGTTAGTTTGAAAAATATATTTTACAGAAATTTTAACATTCTTTTTTTTCTAATTTTAAATTTTTTTTCTACTAATAAATTTCAATATATATATATATGTTTACTATTTGATGAAATGTTTTCAATTTTTAATATATCCATTAATTATTAATTGTTCAAAATTCGTTTTTTTAATGATTGACAAACAAAAAAAAAGGCTAAATAGTACTTTTGGGTTCTTTTTTGATTTCCGTCACCTTGTCATTACTAGTGTTGTTATTTGTTGTGTCATTGTTGGTTGATAGACGATGCTTTTTAACTTTGGTACAATCATCATCATCATCAGATACCTCGTAATCTGATTCGTCAGATGCGCTCATTTTTTGTCCTGTACCATCTTTTGTATCACTTTCACGCTTTTGCTTACGATCTTTTGCACGACGATTCTTAAACCATACCTGTAAAGTAAATCAATTTAATATTTAATTTTGTAAAAAAAAATTATTTCCCAGTGCTGCTTATTTAATTTGATCATTTTATTTATTTATAAATTTGAATCATAATAATTATTATCACTACATATAAATATTTTTATACACATAAAGCACTACTAATTTTTAGTAAAATGAGCAAGTATTAACTATTTTCAAATTAAACATCCATACATTTTGGATATGTTTGATTTAATTTAAGATAAATTAATACCACATATTTGATAACCATTATCGAAATTACAATTATTATTATTATTATTATTATTATTATTATTATTATTATTATTATTATTATTATTATTATTATTATTATTATTATTATTATTATTATTATTATTATTATTATTATTATTATATTATTATTATTATTATTATTATTATTATTATTATTATTATTATTATTATTATTATTATTATTATTATTATTATTATTATTATTATTATTATTATTATTATTATTATTATTA